ATTTACAATTCTGACATGTGATGTGTGTAACTGTGAAAATCTTAGAAAGGTTAAATGCAGACACTTTGTGGCTATTTTGTACACCACAATTAAACAATGGGATGAAATGGAACGAGTTGAACCTGTATGTCGACTGATTTGTGTGTGCAATAAATAACTGATGCAATGAAGTTTTAGGAAATGTGTCTGTTATGTGTATTTTTTTTTTTTACGTGTATGTGTGTACTTTCATGGCTCTTTCAACATCCACTTACCTTTCATCTGGAACTCAGTTATGTTTTTGTAAAATTTGCCAACAGCTGTTAAAAAATCTCTTTTCATTTTAAATAGAACAAGACTTAATTGATTAATGTGGCAATGTTATCTACAGACACCCACAGTAAGTTAACCTTGTAACTTAGTGACAGCAGGTCATACAATATTACAGTTGTGGTTACCTTGTTCTCCTTAGACGCTTCCACAGATGAAATCCAGAAACAGCTGTGAGAATTGGCTCAGAAAAATACACAGAGGTGTATTTTCTCATATGTAGCACACAGCAGGATACAGTTAAGTTAATACAAGTTTTCACAACCACTGACAAGGACCTTGTACTTTTGATTATCAGCTTCCAGCAAACTAAATTGGGGGAATGGGAATGGTATTCTGTAATGTACATACATGTTAAATTTAACTTTTAAAATAAAAACAGAAGATTTGCTCCTTCGTAGGGTCTCCCAAGGGAAAATGGTCCTGTGTAAGGGGCCGGACAAAGTGTTTTAGAGATGAGAGAAAGAGCAAGGGAACATTTAATCATTGTAGGGGCTCACCATGGAGCCAGGCCTTTTCTCTGCTTCATTATGTATCAGTGGTTATTGGGGGACCATGACACTGCTTCAAACTTACAGGTCAACTATGTACAGACTGTTTTCACAGTGTTTCACACACAGATTTTTCATCCATCTCCTCTGCTCTCCTTCCTTCTTTTGCTCAACGTCACAGGTCCCACCATTCTATTAAGATCAAATTGGGAGTGATGACTTGCAGCTGTGGCAGCCAGACTCTCCTGACTCCAACCCTGAACCCTCTGCTTCACCTCTCCCCTGCAGTTGAGCCGCAAACCACACCCTGTCACCACACTCTACTTTGTGACTTTTCTTTCTTTCCCCTCTTTCTGTAAGGTCATTTCTTTGTTTTTGTCTTTGTCTCCTTGTATTTTGCCAAATGGGTCATTGTAACCCTGGGCCAATGGAAGAAAAGATTCTACTCCCTGTTGTAAAACAGTCGACTCGGTAAACTCTGTTTCACTGAACTCTGCTTTTCTCCTGAGTATATTTTTTATTGGATAAATATATAACACATTTCACCAAAACGTTAGGGAATGCATTTTTACAATGAGCCAACACTGCTTTACAACATTGACTTAACTTGATTAGATAACCAGTACTTCTTGTTCTTTTGTTTACAAGTTTGCGTGCGTAATCAACACAGCACAGATTTCCAGACTTTTCTACTTTCGTCCTTTGCCGTGCAACAGATTTGTGGACTTAGAATGATTTAGACCCCACTCCTACAAAACTGCTCAAAGAAGTCCTGCCGTTAATTGATGGTTCAATCCTAAATATGATCAACCTATCTCTAATAATCAGCTATGTACTGCAGGCCTTCAAGCTGGCAGTAGTTAAACCATTTCTTTAAAAAAAAAACATCTCTGACTATTAAAACCCGATTCTTTGACCCCCCCATGATAGAACAGAGAAAACCCGACTCAGAGTGGTCAAAACATTTATATTTCTTTATTCAATCATCTTCCGGCAGAGAGAGCCCTGCACAGCCCCAAAAGCCAGTTGCAGAAACTCTAACATTAGAATTTAAAAATGTGTCTCATATAGGTGGTATTTTGGTCCTTTACACATCACACATAGTTTCATGTTACTAGTTCCTCTTTTTGTCTGGGTTGCTGATTTGATTTATATGCTTGTATAACTCTACACTAACTTCCTGTTTTCAGTCTGGCTGAGCCCTTAGTTTATGAGTCAAAAGTGGCCTTGCTTTACAAGCTTTTATTACTAACATACATAAAACAATATAATAAGAAAATAAGCACTAAGAATATATTTATTACATGACAGGACCCAGCTGTCTTAACTAATAATAGGCCAATCTCCAACCTTCCTTTCACATTCAAAATTCTTGAATGAGTAGTTGTCAAACAGCTAACAGATCATCTGCAGGGAAATGGCTTATTTAAAGAGTTTAAGTCAGGTTTCAGAGCTCATCACAGCACAAAAACAGCTTTAGTGAAGGTTACAAATGATCTTCTTATGGCCTCTGACAGTGGACTCATCTCCGTGCTTGTCCTGCTTGATATAGTGCAGATTAGATTAGAGATATCCTTTCTCAGAGTGACGCTGAAAAACTAGTTCATGCATTTATTACTTCCAGGCTGGATTACTGTAATTCATTATTATCAGGATGTCCTTAAAACCAACTGAAAAGCCTTCAGTTAATCCAACATGCTGCAGCAAGAGTACTGACAGGGACTAGAAAGAGAGAGCATTATTTCTCCTGTATTGTGTTTCCTTCATTGGCTCCCGGCTGAATCCAGAATTGAATTCATAATCCCGCTCCTCACATACAAGGTAATAAATAATCAGGCCCCATCTTATCTTAATGACCTTGTAGTACAACATCACCCTATTAGAGCACTCCACTCTCACACTGTGGGCTTACTTGTTGTTCCTAAAACGTTCAGTTTTGAGGCCTTCAGTTAGGAGCCTTCAGTTTGTGTGCCCCTCGTCAATGGAACCAGCTTCCAGTTTGGATTCAGGAGACAGACACTATCTCTACTTTTAAGATTAGACTTAAAACCATCCTTTTTTCTAAAGCATATTAGTTAGGGCTGGATCAGATGACTCTGAATCCCCCCTTATTTATGCTGCAATAGGGCTGTATCCCAATTCCGGGTCTGCAGCCTTAACGGTCCACAAGGGCCGCGTACTCAAAGACAGCTAAGGCTGGAAGTGGGAAGCTTGTGAAATGGGACAGTCCAGCCTTCAAAATTCTGTCACCAGCTGGACACGCCCTTACCACTTCTCCCGATCAGAGTAATGGATGCGGAAAACATACTCGCTACAACAAGTCCCTCGTCACAGACGAGTGATTTTGTTGCGACTAATCCAAAACCACGTTCAGGTAGAGTGGAAAACACATACTGATACTGCTACTGACATTTGAAGTGTGTGTATTTGAAAACGGTGCACTAGCTTAAAACTCCGATATTCACCACTGTAGACATGAGTCTCACATAGGAGTATGTGGGCCACTACCCTTTTCAGTGAACCAGTACATTTTAGTACATTTCCCTCAAGTACAATAATGAAAAAAAATGTGTAGACACGTAAAGTCAGATTTGTAAACTGCAACAACACCAGCATCCATAATGATGCCAACATTAAAACAATTTCTGTCATTTGCCATATTTCCCTTCACCAGACCAGACCCCTGTACTGCAGGATCAACCTGTGTTGAGTGTCCCAGTCCTGGACAGGTTTTTCAATGATGAGGACACTAGGCCCAATTTCCGCCTGAGCAGGGAGTCTCTGAACATGCTGCTGAATCTCCTTAACCAGGATCGGAGACATGGT